ACATCTGTTAGGTCCATTTGATTTAAGACATCTGTATCATTATTTTTCTGTTTAGCTTCTGTATCAATGATCTGTTCCTTGGCGAGTGTGAGGTGTTGAAGTTTTCCACTATTAAGGTGTGATTTTTTTCCACTATCAATGTGTGATTTAAGCTTTAATAATGTTTGACAAATGCAGGAGCCCTTTCGTTTGGTGCATAGATGTTCAGGATTGAGTCCTCCTGGTGGATCTTGCCTTTAATGTGAATGAAGTGTCTCTCTCCTTCTCTTGATTAATTTTTGTTGAAAGTCTATTTTATTAGATATTAGGATGGGTACTCCAGATTGCTTTTTTGGAAAACCTCTTTCCAGTCCTTTACTCTGAGATAGTATCTCTCTTTATTGCAGAGGTGTTTCTTGGATGCAGCAGAATGTTGGAATCTGTTTCTGCAACCAATCTGTTAGTCTGTGCCTTTTTATTGGGAAAGTTGAGACCAGTGATGTTAATAGATATTAGTAACCAATGATAATTAGTTCCTTTTATTGTTGGTGGTGATTGTATGTTTGTTTTCTTTTGCTTTTTTGATGTGATAATGTTTTTATCCTGCGTTTTCTTGGGTGTAGTTGATCTCATTGGGTTGAAGTTTTCCTTCTAGTATCTTCTGTAGGGCTCGATTGCCCTACAGAGCCAACTGGGGCAATGGCAGATAGATCTCTTTGCCTAGAGCTTCTTCAGAGTCCCACAGGCTTCTTTAAGTCAGTGGGGAATGGAACTTGGGTCCCAAGCCTAGCTCAGCTAGACTGTGTTCACTGTCTTTGCTGTGCTGGCTGATTCTGACCTGGGTGAGCCAGGCAGGTGGGGAGCAGGCAGAATGGAGCTGTTCCTTCTATACAGTACCAGAAAGTATACCATCCACAGGAGGGTGAGAGTGAGTGTCACTAACAATTTATATGGTTCATTCATTCTTTTTTAAATTTTAATTAATTACACTTTATTCACTTTGTATCCCCCATGAACACCTTCCTCTTCCCCTCCTAATCCCACCTTCCTTCCTCCTCCTTCACGCATGTCCCTCCCCAAGTCCGCTGATAGGGGAGGTCTTCCTCTCCTTCCTTCTGATCCTAGTCTATCAGATCTCATCAGGAGTGGCTGCATTGTCATCTTCCGTGGCCTGGTAAGGCTGCTCCCCCCTCAGGGGGAGGTGATCAAAGAGCAGGCCAATCAGTTCATCTCAGAGGCAGTCCCTGTTCCCATTACTATGGGACCCACTTGGGCACTAAACTGCCATGCGCTACATCTGTGCAGAGGTTCTAGGTTATCTCCATGCATGGTACTTGGTTGGAGTATGAGTCTCCGGAAAGACCACTGTGTTCAAATTTTTTGGTTCTGTTGTTCTCCTTGTGGAGCTCCTGTCCTCTCCAAATCTTACTACTACCCACTTCTTTCATACCCCAACAGTTGGCCGTAAGTCTCAGCATCTGCTTTGATAGTCTGCAGGGCAGAGCCTTTCAGAGGCCCTGTGTCAGGTTCCTAACTTGTTTCCTGTTTTTTTTTTCTTCTGATGTTCATCCTCTTTGCCTTTCTGGATGAGGATTGAGCATTTCAGCCAGAGTCCTCCCTCTTGATTAGTTTCTTTAGGTGTACAGGTTTTAGTAGGTTTATCCTATATCATATGTCTACATGAGTGAGTATATACCATGCCTACTCCTTTTTGGTGTGTCTGCTTCTTTTTTTTTTTTTTTCTAGGGTTTTTAGGTGAGCCATTAACTTGCTTGAATGAGCTGTTTTTAATTTCTTCTTGAAGGCACTTAGTGCTATGAACTTTCCTCTTAGCACTGCTTTCATTGTGTCCCACAAGTTTGGGTATGTTGTGTCTTCATTTTCATTGAATTCTAGGAAGACTTTAATTTCTTTTTTTCCTTGACCCAGCTGTCATTTAGTAGCAGGTTGCTCAGTTTCCATGTGTGTGTAGGCTTTTTTGCTATTTCTGTTGTTGTTGAGGTCCAGCTTTTTTTTTTTTTTTTTTTTAAGAGAGGGTTTTTTGTTTAGACCAGGCAGGCTGGTGTACAACTCACACAGATCCGCCTGCCTCTGGCTCCCCAAGTGCTGGGATTACAGACATGCCCCACAATGCCTGGCACAGTTACAGATGGTTATAGCTGCCCTTGGGTACTGGAAATTGAATCTCTGTCCTCTGAAAGTGCATTCAGTGCTCTCTCTTCACTGCTGAAGTTTCTCTCCATCTTTTAAAAAATGTCTGTTCAGTTATTGACTGGAATATTTGTTCAATGCTTTTATTTCTTTCATTTGTTTGGAGTAGTTTTATAGCGTTCTAGTTAAAATTCTTTATTCATTTTATTTTGTTTTGAGACATGGTTTGTCTGTGTAGCTTTGGATGTCCTGGAACTCACTCTGTAGACCAGGCTGGCCTCGAACTCACACAGAAATCTGCCTACCTTTGCTTCTCAAGTGTTGGGATTAAAGGCATGTGCCACAACTGCCCAATCTAAAGGTGGCTGCAGAGAAAGCTGTGGGTGCTGGAAACTGAACTTATATATTTGGTCGTGAGCCTAGCTTTTAAATGGCTGATACATATCTCCAGCCCGTTTTATAAGCATATATTAGCTACACCAAGAATGTATTTCTTCATAGGTCCTAGATACTCATTCTATGTTAGATATATAGTTGGCAAAGACATCTGTACCCATTCTATTCTATGCTCTCACTTCACTGATTCTTTGATGCTCTGCAGAACCTTCCTAAATTCATGCAATCCTTTTTTTTTTTAAATCAATTCTTTCAAACATTTATTGAGCTGTTTTTCTTCAGATTATTCTGTCTTTTCAGTTTGATATAGCCATTGCATGTTATTGCATAGTGGCTTTTGTTTTCCAATAGAATAGAAAATTTTCAGAAAGTTATTTTCAGAAAGTCTTCGCTTATTCCTTTATTGTGAAGCACCTAGGACTTATTTCAATTGTCTGTCCCTCACTATTGAAATACAAATTCCTCAAGGGCAATTGAAACACCCAGAATGCTGGCAGTTACCAAGTTCTCGATAAATGTTTGCTGAACAAACCACTGAGGTCCAGTTATGTGCTGTCAAAATGGAGAGCGAGAATCTAAGTCTCAGTAGTTCAGTGATTTTTATTATTATTATTATTATTGGTTTTTCAACATAGGGTTTCTCTGTGTAGCTCTGGCTGTCCTAGAACTTTCTGTATACTCCAGGCTGGTCTCAAGAGGTCTGCCTGCCTCTGCCACCTGAGTGATGGGACTAAAGGTATGCACACCACCGCCCACTTAGTGATTATTTTTCTAATGGTAATGAACCGAAAGTAAACCAACTGTATTTTTTATTCTATTGGAAAACAAAAGCCACTATGCAGTAACATGCAATGAAAAGACAGAATAGTCTAAGAAAAACAGGGAGTGTCAAGCTAAAACTCTTTACTACCAAAGAAAACATATAAGCAAGCTTAGCACTGATTGCCTGAAAAGTCTTATTTCAAGAAAGCTAAAAAATGTTACAAGGCACAGAACTTTAAGAAACAGTCCCATGGAATAGCACAAAACCACATTCCTCCCTTAAATATTGCTACATTAAGAATGTAGTTATTCATGTTTGTAACTATGTCAGAAGGAAGTTATTTCTGGGTACATGTTTAAAACTTAAAAATTGGGTTTTCATTAATACTGCTTAAACAAAATGTTTTAAAAACTGAATGGAAAAATGGTAACTGAAACAAAACAAAACAAAACCTTGAGTTGAGTACAGAAAATAAGTGTAGAGTATTGGGCTCAGAAGTTAAGAGCACTGGCAGTTCTTAGAAAGGTCCTAGTTCAATTCCCAGCAACCACATGGTGGCTCACAACCATCTATAATGAGACTTGGTGCTCTTCTGGCATGCAGCTGACAGAACACTGTATATATAATAAATAATAAATAAATCTTAAAAAAAAGAAAATCCAATTCTCCCCCAAAGTCTAGAATATCACCAAAGCTGCTACTTCAAAATAAGCTAATCTCAAAGATTTTGAAATACCATTGACAGCAGGTATCAGAATGAAAAATTAACTCCATGAATTCAGCTCTTGATTATGATTGGAAGGAATATACTGCATAACAAGTGACCAGTTGAATTGACTTTTAGTATGTTTCAAAATACACTCATATAGATATGATTTAAAGCAAGCAAGCAAACAAACAAACAAACAAGCAAATTAAACTAATAAAAACCCCATATGGAATTGGGTCTTGACACCTTGCTTCCTTTCACCATAATTAAGAAAACAAGTTTTTTGATAGCTCATTTTTTTTAAGTCCAGGTGTGTGTGGTGGCACATGCATTCAGGAGACTGAGGCAGGTGGATCTTTGTGAGTTTGAGTCTAGCCTTGTGTACACCACAAGTTCCAGGACAGCTGTGACTATACAAAAAGATCCTGTATCAAATTATCTTTTAATTTTTATATTTTATGTGCCTACATATACATCTGTGTACCACATATATGCTTGGTGCAGGTAGAGGGCAGAAAAGGACATCAGATTCCCTGCACAGAAATTGCAGATGGTTGTGAGCTACCATGTGAGTGTTTAGAATTGAACCTGGGTCTTCTGGAAGAGCAGGCAGTGTTTTTACCAGTTTGAGTCATCACTTCAGCTCATCTTTTGCTAGCTTGTAAAATAGTTCAGATCAGTAAAGTCTAGTGGGCTTTTACGTGTGCTTATTATAACAGTACAAGATGTATTCAATAAATAAAAACCTCAGCCAATAGACAAAGGAGGCAGACTTCCATGCAAGAAGGAAAACAATTTTTCTTGTTATATGATACAATCTATATCAACTCATTTATTATATATTATATAAATTATATATTATATTAGTATGATGTATAATATTAAATGTATAATATTCAATATATTATATTACATAATATATTATATAATATATAATATAAATTAATATTATATTACTTATTATAAAATAATTTCCAAGATTGTTTAATAACACAACTTTTATTAAAAAAATAAGTAACAATAAAACTGTTCAGAAAACATATATTCAATGTAATCAAAATAAACAAACACCAAAATAAAAATGTATACATCTCTCTCTCTGTATCTGTGGGCAAGAAACATGTGCACTTTTTGGTCCCAATATTTTTAATATATTATCTTTATCGAACGGAATTACAGTAACTATTAAGTGAATAGCAACTTAACTTAAAACGTGTTTGTAAAGGAACTTTTTGTTCATTGTCTTTAAATTCCTGACCACTAACATGTTGATAATAATCCCAAGATAAGACAGAGCATATATTAATGTCTAGTGACATAAACAAGTATCACGCACACCTTTGAATCCAGCACTTGTGAGGTAGAGGCAGGCACAAATCAGGTCAGCCTGATCTATATAGTGAGTATCAGGATAGCCAGAGCTACATAACACAGACCATGCCTCAAAGAGAAAAAACGACAGACAGACAGACAGACAGAAAGAAAGAAAGAAACAAACAAACAAAGAAACTACCAATAAGTAGGTACATGAAATATGTAGAGAATTTTAAAGAAATTTTTTGGCAATTTTAACACAAAACAAAAGATTTAAGCAAAAATTGTAAAAGTAGACATATAAACTGGACATCACTAAATTTGGTGAATGTCAAAAAATAGTGCTATCTAAATTTAATTTTTCAAAAACAATTAGGAGGGGGCTGGAGAGATGGCTTGCACATTAAAGGGACTGGCTGCTCTTCCAGGGGACCTGGGCTCAATTCCCAGCAACCACATGGCAGCTCACAACTCTAACTCCAGTTCCAGGGGATCAGACAACCTTACCCAGACATACATGCAGGCCAACCAATACACATAAAATAAAATAAATCATAACCAAAAAAAAAGTAAAAATTCAAATACTAGAATTGCTGAGAACTTGTGGTATTCTGGCTAAAACTTTACATGATAACATACATTAGTGTTAATTTGGAGCCACATTTTCACAACGTTTGTTTTTCCAAGAATATGGCAGTAACCTCACTCCCCATACAATCAGGCTTTTCTTGCACTGTAGACTGCGTGAGGAATATTGAAGGACTGTAGCCAAAGTGATTAAACGTGGTGTATGTCAAAGCACTCACTTGATGGGCTTTCATTATTAGAGCCAACTCAAAAGGTTAAATGTAAGAATCAAAGCCCCCAGTGGGAAGCTGTGTTTAGTTTGGTGCACCCTGAAGTCATCTGTGGCCAAATCAAAATCAGCCTTATGGAAGGACTGTCAGGGACAGTGCCTAAGAACTGATAAATTCCCAAGGCCACAAATTGAAAATGGTCTCACAGTCAAACAATTCACATTCCTTGGAATGAGAGAACAGGCATCAGTTGTGTCCATCGAAGTAGGACAATGTCCAGGAGTCCACTGGACATTTTTGAAATTTCTGTGTTGCCTCTGTATCTGAAAAGTATGAAAAATAGAACAATGACAAAGAATGAATGCTATCTGAGCAGCAAGACTTGTAAGAAATCAAGATACAGACAAAGAGGAAAAGGAACAGCTACAGCATTTGTATGTAATACTCTGGAGGCAACTACAGCAGAGAAAACAAATTATCTGAAGCAAAGTAAGAAAGACAACAGAACCAAAGTTCTTTTTCCAGAGCCAACTGGAAAAGAACAGCACATTCAGATATGTTAACCTGACACAATAACGATCTACTGCCACCTGAAAGCTGAAAAGAGCTGAATAATGACAGTGAGTGTCATGGATTTTAACAGCTTTCATGAAAACACTGCAGAACTTTGAACTTAGGAAACTGGATTTGTGAACGCAAACACTGCAGAACTTTCAGCTTAGGAAATTCCAACTTGTCTTGCACCAGGTTGCACGAGCTCCATAGAGCAGGAATCTATTTCAACAAGCCACTTTAAAACAAAAGAAAACAAAACAAAACTTTAATATTTTTCATTTATTTTTTTATTTTTAATTTTTTTTAGTAATTACACTTTATTCACTTTGAATCCCAGCCATAGCTCCCTCCTTCATTCCCTCCCAAACCCACCCTCTGTCCCTCATCTCCTCCCATGCCCCTCTCCCAGTCCAGCGATAGCAGAGGTCCTCCTCCCCTTCCCTTCTCCCCTAGCCTAATTGGTCTCATCAGGACTGGCTGCATTATCTTTCTCTGTGGCCTGGTAAGACTGCTTCCCCCAAAGAGGGAGGTGATCAAAGAGCAAGCCACTGAGATTATGTTAGAGAAGTCCTTGTTCCCCTTACTAGGAAACCCACTTGGAGACTTAGTTGCCATTAATATTTTCAATTCTATTAAAGATACATTTAAAAATTTCAACAGTACTAAAATCTATCAAAGTAAATTGGGAATAAAATTTAGACTTACTCAGAAGTGGATTCAGGAGTTAAGGTTCTTTCAGTAACTGAAATCAGAGAAGGCTTTATGTTTACAAATACTTGAAAACTGAGTAATCAATTTAATTTTTAAGAGCTCACACTGTGACAGATCAAAACTACTGGCCAAATATCATAAATTCATAGTAACAGATACTTGTACATACCGTTCTCTATTACAACTTGGCAAGTATGAGTTTTACGTTGACTTAAGTGTTTAGCCATACGGTCTAAGCCAGAAGTACCAGCTAGGAAGTCACATTTAAGGCACACTAGAGTGATGCCCCTATGGAAAGAGAAAAGACTAATTACAGGACAGAGGACCATATGTGGAAATCCATACATAAATTCAGTAACTGTTCCATGTAATAACTCTTGATTTTTATGTCATGTGCTGTCACTGTCATTTTCAAATTTTATTATAAATATATGCAATTTTTCTCAAAGGGTTGTGGTTATAGGCAGTATTGGCTTTGCATACGTAAGGCCCTAGATTTGATCGTTGGCTCTGAGGGATAAAAAAAAAAGAATTCTCCAGAAAATGGCCTAGCCACAGCTAATTTATGCTATTATTTTGTGCTTTATAAATTGTATTCTCTCAATTGGTTGCTAAAAGTTTTTCATCCAGAGACCCAAAGCAGTTGTGGCTCAACTAGATACTGGTATATCTTATACACATCACAGTGATTCCATGCCTTGGCTTATCTGCCAAGCAAGAAGATAATATTCACTCTAATATTTTGGTTGAAGACCTTGTTTGTTTCTTGCATGGCTTCATATTATTACAGATACACCTGAATAAACACAGAACTGTTTTTTTCACAGAAACTGAGCAAAAGACCTCTAAATAAGCAATATAAATAGCCAAGAGGTCTGATAAAAACTTTCAATATATCTTGAAAAAACTAAAAATAAGCCATAGGATATTTTCTATACACCAAATTCCTACATATTTTGGATACAACAGCACACAGCACACAAAAAGGTAGAGTTTATGAAGCATATAATCTAGTGTATGTAAGTCAGAATAAAGTTAGTTTATTAACGAAGCATATACATACTTGATATTTTACTTGTGTTTTGTCTGCTTTGAAACAGGGTCTTACTACTAGCCCAGTGGTGCCTTGAATGCAGGAAATCCCTGCTTCCTTCATTAGTGCTGGAGTTGTAGGTGTGAGCCACCATTCCCACCATCACCTCATCCTATAAAACAACTCAACTTTATAGATCTAAAATCCAGTAGTATGCCTTATGCTGGTCTGGTCTTAACATCCTGTTTTACATTTAAGACTAGGTGCTATACACATAAGGAAGTGTTCTTGAACAACCCAAATCACCTTTTCTCCCCCAAACCACCCTCTATTCCTGGTTTGTCTTATGATGACACTTTCTTGTGAATGAAGTTCAAATAAGAACATTTCAAATATCTCAATATTTAATAATTTAAAATATCATTTACACTGTGCTAAGCTGGGGATTTTAGAAGACCTACCTCTTCTAAACGAATGACCTAAATGACCCCTAAAAGATAGGTGTTCTAACTTTTCTAAAGGGGATAGGGCCAGATTTAATAACTTATCTAAGGCCAGCCCCATGTTTGAAACTTGGCCCTTTGATACCAGAGCCCATTTTCTGTTCTTTCTTTCAAGCATCCCATAAGATTTGTTGTAAGTTTTTTAATTTTATTTTTTAATAAATGAGCTTTTTTTAAAAATATTTATTCTATTTTCTGTCCTTTTGGTGTTTTGCCTGCATGTATGTCAGTGTGGGGGTGTCAAATCCCCCGGAATTGGAGTCAGAACAAGTGTAAGTTGCCACTGGGATTCTGGGAATTGAAGTCAGGCCCTTTGGAAGAGCAGCCAGTGCTCTTAACTAGTAAGACACCTCCCAAGTCCCTCTGTTCTTTCTTTTTGCTGAAAAATAAATAAATAAATAACTACAAAAACAAGCAAACAAACCAACAATTGCCAGCGTTACACAGAGAAACCCTGTCTCACAAATCAAACAAACAAAAAAATATTTATTATATTATTTATGTCTGAATGTTTTGGTTGGTGCCCATGGAAGTTGGAACATCAGGTTCCCCTGAACCCGGAATTATGGATGGTTGCATGTCACCATGTAGAAGTACTAGAAACTGATCTTAGATTCTTTGTAAGAGTAACAAGTGCTCTTAACCACATCACCATTTTCTCTAGCCCCCAGCCAATTCATTACTAAATAACAGCCTTAACTACTTTGTGGTTTATGAAGCTATAGCTCACCATGTATACTTCTTCAAACTGATCTTCCTTCCATACCCTTGATTCCACCCAAAGCATCTATGATTTTCTCAATGTCTTGCAAAGTAAAATCAATTCTTAATTACTTACAACTGTTTTTTGGACTAAAAAATCTGTATCTAAGTGCAAAATTGTTGCTCCATATTTCATTCATGCTTTCTTCTTCATGGACCTTTTTTTTGTTTTGTTTTTCAAGAAGGGGTTTCTCTGTGTAACATGCCGTAGCTCTCCTGGACTGACTTTGTAGAACAGGCTGGCCTTGAACTCACAGTGATCCACCTGCCTCTGCCTCCCCCAGTGCTGGGACCTTTTTCCATCTTACATTGTAAATGCATGAAAGTTTCAACTCAGTATCTGGCACCACTGTAACAGAGGCTAGTCATATGATAGGCTATCCTTTCCTTTGTTCTATGACTATAACAAACATAACTCTATCATGTCCAGTGGCAATCATTTCAATTTCACATTAGGTAAACCAACACCTGGTTAAAAGTTTAATTATGACTTTTAATACAAAGAACAGAAACATATCAATTACCTGAGGGCTTGGGAATGCTTCTTAGAAATATAAAACTGTTTACTTGGTTGGTCATTATGAGAGCTGATAGATAAAAGAAAAACAAGTCTCTATTACTTTTATATCTAATAAGTCACATTAACTTTATGAGCATGTTTTCAAGTCCATGCTTAATTTATTAATTTTGAATAGAAGTTAATGACATAAATAAAGCGATATATTGATCACTGGTATGGTCTGAGAAGAGTACCCACCAATTAATATGTTAATCCCTAACCTCCCCCTCACTTGATAAATGTGGTGGCATTAGGAGAAACCTTTGGAGAAATAACTAGGTCCCAAAAGCAGAATCCTTACACGTAGGATTTGTGTCCCATATAAAAAGAGACACAAGAGAGCTAGCTTGTCCCCAATAGAGTGCAACAGAGTAAAAAGGTGCTATGAGAAATGGGCTCTCACCAGAACACTTGTTCTTGCTTGTACCTGATCTTTTTTCATTCCATTTCTTTCCTTTCCTCTCTTTCTATACTTTTTTCTGTCTGTCCATCCACCTACCTACCTATCTACCTACTTACCTATTTTTGAGACAGGTTTTCTCTGCATAGGCATGGATGTCCTGGACTCACTTTGTAGACCAGGCTGGCTTCAAACTCACAGAGATCTGCCTGCCTCTGCCTCTGCCTCCCAGAATGCTGGGATTTCAGGTGTGCGCTACCACGCACATTGACAGGAGTCTACTGAGCGCATTTGAAAAACTCTAACTAGCAGTGTTTTCAAAGCAAAGACTCATGACCAAACCTTTGGCAGAGTACAGGGAATCATAAGAAAGAAGGGGAGTTAGTCTGATGAGGAAAGGATAGGAGCTCCACAAGGACCAAAGATATCTGGGCACAGGGTCTTTTCTGAGACTGACATGCAACCAAGGACCATGTATGTATGTAACCTAGAACCCCTGCTCAGATGTAGCCTGTGGTAGCTCAGTAACCAATTGGTTTCCCATAGTGAGGGGAACCAGGACTATTTCTAACAGGAACTCAATGACTGGCTCTTTGGCCTCCCCACCCCCAAGGGAGGAGCAGTCCTGTTAGGCCACAGAGGAGAGCTTTGCAGCCAGTCCTGAAGATACCTGATAAAACAGGATCAGATGAATGGGGAGGAGGTCCCCCCTATTAGTGGACTTGGCAAGGGGCACGGTGGAGATGAGGGAGGGAGGGAGGGACTGGGAGGGAATGAGGGATCGGGACATGGCTGGGATACAGAGTTAATAAAATGTAACTGATAAGAAAAAAATAAAATTCAAAAAAAAATCTTGGAGCCAGAGCCAAGTGGAGTGGTGCACATGTGTAATCTTCCCATCACTTCAGAGGCAGAGGCAGGTGAACCTTTGTGAGTTCAAGGCCAGCCTGGTCTACAAAGTGCATCAAGGACAGCCAAGGCTACACAAGAGAAACGTAGAACTTTACACATCCTAAGCAATGGTATACCAGAAAACGAGACCCACGACCCCAAAAGGTAATTTTGACTGGCACCTTACATGTCCAACTTACATCGTATGATTTGTAAAGGCTTGGTTGCAGTTAGTGGTATACTTGCAAACATCACAGTTTATAAATGTAGAAAAGTGGCTTGAAAAATCTGTTATTTTGGAATGGCACTCAATACACGTGTAAATTCCCTGGTGACATCTTATGGAGACAGAAACAATAATAGAAATGCGTCATACAATAAAAATAGTAAGGAAAACTTACTAACATTTAGTTAATTGAAACAAAGATGTTTAAGATTATCAAATAGATATTTAACTTCTAAAACTTTGCTTTGAAGCAATGAGCTAAAACTAGTGCGAGGCCAACCAATGACTGGTGTAACTTGAGGCCCAAGCCTCAGTGGATGGAGCTGGGGGAGAGGGGAAGTAGGAGGAGGGAACTGGTAGACTATACGAGAGAAGAATAAAAACAAAAGATTATGAAATCAATATTTAAATTTTGAAAATTTGCTTTGAAGCAGTAAGCTAAAACAAGTGTAAAAAGTTTAACACATGTAAATATTTCCCCAGAATAAAAATATTTAAACAATTTAATATCATAAGGTAAAAATATAATGTTTAAGATTAGTGCAAAAGATTAAAATCACAGAATAAACATGGCAGTTCAAATTCTGTCCAGCAGTTGTTAAAGGTACCGTTTTATTATCTGTTTAGTTTTCATAATAGAAAAACAATTGTCCCGTAAATGTGTAAGAATATCTGTGACAAAGTAAGTCATTAAAATGAACATGTAACTTTTGAGATTAAATTAGTATCCCATATAATGAATAAAGATAATACCTTAAATTCTTCAAATATATACTTAATTTGCTTTTCCTGGTGCGCTGTCTCTTTTGCTTGTAGGAGGGCTTGGCTTTGGATTTAGTTATACCTGTACCTGGATTACTTGACTTGGGCTTACGAGTTGTGCTTAAAATTGGCTTACTTTTCTTAACATTATTTGCAAATAATTTTGAGTTATTTTCAGTAGTTGTAATTTTAGACATTGGAGCTGAGACCTCAAGAGAAATGCTTGGAATAGAACTAGAAGATGGGCTTGATGAGCTTGATTGAGCAGATCCAAATGAAGCCTGAATAGTGACCTACGAAAACAAAGGCAGGATATATTTGTAGAAGATTATTAAAGTGGTATTAAAAACATTACCTGTAAGGCCTAATATTCAGTTATCTAATATGTGTGTTCACACGTATGTGGGTACACATATGTGTATGTGGAGGATTAGAGTCTACAATTAGGCATCTTTCTCAATCACATTCCATCTTATATATTGAAGAAGGGTCTCTCACTTGAATAGGTAATGATTCCTACTTTTTTGAGAGAGTGTGTGTGTGTCTCTCTATAAAGCTGTAGCTGTGCTAGAACTTATCATATAGACCAGGCTGCCCTCAAACTCATAGAGATCCACTTCTGCCTCTGCCTCCCAAGTTCTGGGATTAAAGGCACCACTATGCCTTCAGGCAATGACTTAACTGTGCCATCCAAAGCACCCCATAATTCTACTCCAAGTTATATTCCCAAAAAAATAAAAACATATGCCTGCATAAAAACTTTTACAAAAATATTTATAGCATCATTATAACAGCCCCCCCAAAAAATCAAATGCCACCAACTGATGAATGAAAGTATGTGCCCAATAAAATAGTGGTCAGCAATGAAAGAAAAAAAGGCAGTATCCAAGTAGGTTCCCTAGTAAGGGGTATAAGGACTATTTTAGACATGAACTCAATGGCTGGCTTTCTGACCTCTGCCTCCCCTGAGGGAGAACCAGCCTTGCTAGGCCACAGAGGAGGACATTGCAGCCAGTCCTGAAGATACCTGATAGACTAGGGTCAGACGGAAGGGGAGGAGGACCTCCCCTATCAGTGGACTTGGAAAGGGAAATTGGGAGGGAATGAGGGAAGGGCCTACAGCTGGGATACAAAGTAAATAACCTGTGATTAATATAAAAAAATAAAAATTATAAAAATAGAAAAGCACTGAGACATGCTACAAGATAGATGAACCTATGAAACACTATACCAAAAAAATACATCCTCAAGACTATGCCATGCGATTTAATTTATATGAAATATTCAAAATGAAAAAATTTATAAGGAAGAGATTAAAGGTTGCATCTCGTAGTGTCAGAATACAGTTACCGTTAATGGGTATAAAATTTCTTTTACCGATAACTCAAATGGTCTAAAATTGCATGAGATGACGTTTTCACAACTGTAAATACATTAATAAAACTAGTGAATTGAGCACTCTGAATGGAAAAATTGGTATATAAATTGTATTCTAAAAAGCTGTTACAAAAATCAGTATAACTAAAAAAGACAAATATTATTTAAAATAGAAAACAAAATGGAATCAGGTATTTTCCATCTATTCTACTTTTTGTAGGTTTTTGTGTGTACATCTCTGTGTGTGCACATGTAGAGGTTAAAGAATCACTCTGCAATTGAATCTCTCTTTTTATCTTTATATGAGTTCCGGTAATCAAAACTCAAGTAATGAGACTAGCATTGTTGGGTTGCAAGTACTTTTACCCACTGGCCTAGTTCCCCGTTTATTTTGAATGGTCTTACCAGGTATATTATGCTCATTTGCTGCTGAAATAGTTTCCTATTGGCAGTATTTATTATACATAAACATAGGTATTAATGGATAATTTCATGAGAATCTAAAGAATATATTTTTCCATCCCAATTCCTGTGATTTTGAGTAAGAAATCTTTTCCATCTAAGTCTCTTTGTAATACAGGAATAATACTAGCTCACTTGCCTGTCTTGTTGGGTCACTGACTGGATAAATTAGAAGTATAAAAAAGACACAAATGTTATTAATGTCACTGTATTACAATATGGAAAACAGGAGAGGTTTTCAATGTTCACATTAATGTTCTGTATTTCTAGTCTCAACATGGGATAAACGGATCTCAAGAAGTCACCCTTGAATGCTTCTCTCACTCTAGATGTTCACAGCATTACCCTATATTACTTTAGGTAGTTCTAATAGCAGATATAATCACAAATGTATGTAATAAATGCCAAATATGAAAGCTTAGGAATAATTTCATTGTGGATTATCCATCTGCCAGACCACATAGTCAAGAACAAACTTTATATAATGAAGACAGAGGGAACTGGATGTCCACATGTAGAAAAATGCAAATAGACCCATATTTATCACCCTGCACAATGTTAAAGTCCAAGTGGATCAAAGACCTCAATATAAAACCAGACACACTAAATCTGTAAGAAGAAAAATTGGGGAAGAGCCTTGAACTCATTGGCACAGGAGACAACTTCCTGAACAGAACACTAACAGCACAGGCTCTAACATCAACAATCAGTAAATGGGACTTCATGAAACTGAAAAGCTTTTTGTAAAGCAAAGGACACTATCATCAGAACAAAATGAGAGCTTACAGATTGGAAAAGGATTTTCACCAACCCTATATCTGATAGAGGGCTAATATCCAGAATATATAAAGAACTAAAGAAGCTAAAAAGCAACAAAATAAGTAATTTAATTTAAAAATGGGGTACAGAGCTAAACAGAGAATTCTCTGTAGAGGAATATAGAATGGCAGAGAAAGACTTAAAGAAATGCTCAATGTTCTTAGCCATCAGGGAAATGCAAATCAAAACACCGAGATTTAACACCCATCAGATTGTCTAAGGTAAAAAACTCAACGGACAATGCATGCTGGAGGTTGTGGAGAAAGGGGAACCCTCCTCCATTGCTGGTAGGAATGCAAACTTGTACAACAACTGTGGAAATCAATCTGGTGCTTTCTCAGATAATTAGGAATAGTGCTACCTTAAGATCCAGCTATACCACTCCTGGGCATATACCCAAAATATGCCCCACCATTCAATAATGACAGTTGCTCAACTATGTTCATAGCAGCTTTATATGTAATAGAATCTAGAAATAATCTAGATGTCCCTCAACAGAGGAATGGATACAGAAAGTGTGGTACATCTACACAATGGAATACTATCCAGCAATTAAAAACAAGGAAATCATGAAATTTGCAGACAAATGGTGGGAATTAGAAAAGATCATACAGTGAGGTAACCCAGAAGCATAAAGACACATATGACATATACTCACTTATAAGTCAATATTAGCCATATAATATAGGATAAGCATACTAAAATCTTTAGTCCTAAAGAAGATAAAAGTAAGGAGGACCCCAGGGAAGATGCTTTTTTTTTTCTTTTTTTTTTTATTTTTCTTTTTAGTTACATTTTGTTAACTCTGTGTCCCAGCTGTATCCCGCTCCCTCATTCCCTCCCCAACCCCACACTCCCTCCCTGATCTCCTCCCTGCCCCTTTCCACGTCCACTGATAGCTTAATCCTCATTCAGAAGGGCAAACAGGATAGACTTTGGAAAGTAGAAGAGAAGGAACAGGATAGGAACCTTCCACAGAGGACCTTTGAAAGACTCTACTCACCAAGATTTTGAAGGAGATAATGAGACTCACAGCCAAACTTTGGGCAGAGTGCCAGAATTCTTATGGAAGAGAAGGGAGATAGAAAGACCTGGAGAGTACAGGAACTGCACAAGGAGACCAAAAGAGCCAAAATACCTGGTCCCTGGGAGGCCTGAAGAGAATGATACTACAACCAAGGTCCATGCATGGAGAGGACCTAGACCACCTGTTCAAAGGAAGCCCATTGTCTGATCAATTTCCAAGTGGGTTCCGTAGTAAGGAGTACAAGGGTTGTTTGTGACAGGAACTCAGTTAAAAGCTCTTTGATAGCTTTACCCTGGGCGGGGTGGGGTGGGGTGGTACAGCGCCTTGCCAAGCCACAGAGGAAGGTGATACAGCCAGCCTTGATGAGACCTGATAGCCTAGAGTAAGATAGAAGGGGAGAAGGTCCTCCTCTATCAGGGGACCAGGGAAAGGGCATAGGGGGAGAAGAGGGAGGGTGGGTGGGACTGGGAGGAGACGAGGGAAGGGGCTGCAGCAGAGATACTAGGTGAATAAAGTGTAATAAATAAATATATAAATAAAATTGAGTTAAGAAAAAGCAGGGGGGTGGGAATATATCAAACACAGAAAACTTATAATCAAATGTGTGCTTATTCACTTAAAACAGCAATGTTATCCAGGAAAGTAATGTTTCCATGTAGGTAGTTACATCAACGTAACTATGACATAGTTATACATCAACGTATCTATGACATTCAATGCACTGATAGATGCTCACAACACCTAAAGGTAAATTAAACGTGACTCTCAGTCTCAAAAGTGTCGTGGTCTAGCCATGGATTCATGTAATAGATTAAAAAAAAAATAGCCCGTAGAATACTATGCAACTTAGTGACTTATCCCACAATGAGTCTATAAAGGAATGTCACAAGGCACATGTCAATTTTGTTTTTGCTTTTTGAGCGTAAGAATAATAAAACCTGGGTGTAGAGACAGATGGCCAGGCAGTTAAGAACACTTGATGCTCTTGCAGAGGACCTGAGTTTGGTTGCCAGAATACATGTAGGGTGACTCACATGCCAGTACTGATAACACACACAACTTTTTTAACTTTATCCTTTTTGTCCTCCTCCTCCTCCTCCTCCTCTTCTTCTTCTTCTTTCCTCCTCCTCTTCTTGGTATTTTTTTCCGAGGCAAGGTTTTTCTGTTGTCGCCTTTGCTGTTCTGGACTTGCTTTGTAGGCATCTAACTTACAATGATCTGCCTGCCTGTACCTCTCAGAGTGCTCAGATTACAGGTGTGCATCACTGTGCCTAGCTGTTAATTTTATTGCTTAAATAACACACACCCACACAGAAATGTAATAAAACCTTAATGCTTTAACACATAGCACATATATACACACAAATTAAAAAGAATAACAAAATCTTTCTTTAGCTCTTATTAAAAACAAATTTTTATATTATATTCAAGAGATAAGATGAGACAAGGGTTTTTCCTCCCCCTCTCTGTCTTTTGAGACAGTAATGTAGCCTTGGCTGTTCTGGAACTCTCTATGTATATCAGGCTGTCTTTGAACTCAGTGATCCACCTACCTCGGCCTACTGCATGCTAGGATAAAAGGCGTGTGCCACCATACCCAGCCCAGGAGTTTATCAGACAAAATGCCAAACTACAACATATTTAATACTCACTTTTGTTCCGGAAGGCAATCCTTCTAGTTCTTTAGGCTGTATAAATGTACGGTGTTCTAAATTATGATCTGTTTTCTCCTTGCAGGTCAAAAATTGTAGTCTGCATTTTGGGCAATGATGAATTCCTTTTCTCTGTTTATAAAAAAAAATAGAAATATGTGAAAATATATTTTGTTTTCTGAGAAAAGGTCTCAGTACACAGCTCCAGCTGCCCTTAGAATGTTGCATGTGGCATACTTTCTTAGTCTCTTGCAATGCTCCGGTTTCAGACTCCCAAATGCTAGGATTATAGGTATGCATGTTCATATTCTAGAGATGCTAACAACTATGCACCACAAACCCTCACACCTGAAATTGCTCTTTGACTAAAATCTCTATAATTTTTTAAAAGCAACTATTTTACCATCTCCCATTATACATAATGCCATGATATTCTTTTTATTTTGGTGCTGAATCATGCTCAGGCACCTATGCTACCAATGGACTATACTGAGCTAATTCATTCATTTATTCATCCAACCATCCATCCATTCATTCATTTCTTTGTTTCTGAAGTACTGGAGATGAATTTCAGGATTTCATGCAGGTTAGGCAAGTGCTTTATTTCATCTGCTATGATATAAAGTACCCAATATGAAATTATATCAACTAGGATGTACTGTGGAAGTTTCTACACCTATTATGGTGTAAAAGTGCTTTTGATTATAAATGCAATATATAAACTATTTAAACATATGAGACTACAAAATGAATTACATTTTATTTCTATATTTAGAAAAAGGAAATTCTTTGTTTTTGATATCTCCATTTGTTTAACAAGTTGGTAAAGCAAATTTTAACTTTTAAAACAAAAAAAAATCATTTGGCTGAATGAAATCAGCCCTCTTAAGACAGAGGCAGGTGGATCTTTGTGAGTTTGAGCCATCCTGGTCTGGATAGCAGTTTCCAGGTCAGCCAGAGCCACACAGTGAGATTCTGTCTCAATCAAACAAAATACCCAACCAACAAACAAAAAAAACCAAGCAACCAAACGAAAATAAAAAAAAAAAATCTAACCAGAAACTCTGACTAAAGTTATGTAATATACAATTGTTCTAAATGGCAGTTCTGTCCAACAGAATTTTCAAAAGTTGCATTATCCATTGTGAAATCTACCACTTATAAATGGACAGTGAGTGCTTTAAATGTGACAAGTGCAACAGATTTTATAATTTTACTTTTTCATGGGTTTACATTCAAATACACACATCACTAGGTGTTATGATGTTGAGCTACATGCATATGAAAGCATAAATAACTCTTTCCAACTTACTGTTTAATCTTTTGACCGAGTCCTCAAACAGCCATAGTATTATTTTGCTGTTACAAAACGGAACTCCAGAAAAATCAAGTCACTTGTTTATGTTAATGTTCTTTTTATATCTTTTAGTTGTAATTTTTATGTATATATTCTCATTGATAACACATATTGTTTGAGCAGAATAAATGAAAAATAGTAATTTTTATAAATCTGTATGTGCATAAGCACAAAAATGTTCCTTTATAAACAAATAATCATTGAGAAAAACAAAAACAAGGTACCATACACAAAAATATCTAGGACAGTTACTGGTTCACAACAAGCAAATGATGCATAAAAGTTTTATACCACATTCAAAGTAATATATAGCATAAATGTAATATGCCTGCTTACTATTTTATATAATATTCAGTGACTTCATGAATACTTGGAACCTGAATCTTTTATAGTCACTGTTACAAAAATCACATATTCTCTTGCAAATAGTAACTTTTCTTTCATGTCCACAAAAAAACCAGAACATTACATGATTCCAAGTAAAAATATAATGGAAGGGTCCACAATCAGTTATCCAGTACCACATAGCCAGTCCTGAAATCATATACATGCAAGTAACATTACAGGAACTGAATAGGTTATCTTTTATATTTATAATATATGTACATTATATATAGATATTTAAGTGTGTGTATGTAACAAATAAAGAAAAAAAGGTTATGAATTTGAGAGAGAGCAAGATGAGAGGATGTCTGGGAGGTGTTGGAGGAAGAAAAGGGAAGGGGAAAATAATATAATTAAAATTTCAAGAAATCATTATACATTTAAAAATCTTTTTCTTCCATACTTTTCCAGTATCTCAGTATATGGAAATTTCCCCTATCGAAATCTCATAACAAAAACAGACTTAGGCACTCTGAACTCTATTTTTTTTTTTTTTGGTTTTTTTGAAACAGGGTTTTGCGTAGTCTTGGATTTCCTAGACCCACCCTGTAGACCAGGCTGTCCTTCAACTCACAGAGATCTGATAGCCTCTGCCTCCTGTGGGCAGTGACTAAAGGTGCACACCACCACGGCTGGCTTGGAATATAACTTTTCTGACAGACATGTTACATACTGCTTTTTCTCCTTTGGAGAGGCCCACATTGACCAATTCATATAAACAAGGAAAACCCACTGCATCACGAAAGATGGATAAGTCCCAATCCATCTATATTTTTGTTCCACTGCATCTACTACTAACCAGTGTGTATATAATTTCAAACACACACACACACACACACACACACACACACGCACACCTTTCTCCATTATAATGCAAACTCCAGAGGGCAAAGATCGCTCTTCTTACTTCCATATTCCTAATATTTATAAACTATAAATTATTTGTTAAAAAAACAGCAAGTCACGCGGCAAGAGAATGGAAGGATACACGTGAGCACTGAGCATGAGTCAACGAGTTTAAAACATCTGCTATTCCATTCAGAGAACATTTCCCTAGAGGCCTGGGTTGTAGATATTAATCTAATACTCAGTTTAACTGAACTTAAATTTGCACATTGTTCTCATGTATGTATGTATGTTGCAAGATACTAAGGTTGACGAGGATACAGAAATAACATGATGTTCTACAAAAGAAACAATGTTTTGTTTCAAAAGTTAGAATTTGCAAGGTAATATTAACTGTCTGCAATTTCTGCCTTAAAATTTATTTATTTATTTATTACAATGAGGGAGGGTGTATCCCTCTCCCTCATCCCTTCCGAATCCTGCAATTTCTCCCTCTTTTCCTCCCATGTGCATTCCCCAGTCTACTGATAGAGGAGGTCCTCTTCCCCTTCCATCTGACCCAGCCTATCAGGTCTCATCAGATTGACTGCATTGTCTTTCTCTGTGGCCTGATAAGGCTTCCGACCTCTCAGGGAAAGGTGATCAAAGAGACAGCCACTGAGTTTATGTCAGAGACTTTGGAAATCCATCTGGCTCTTTCTCAGATAATCAGTAATAGTGCTACCTGAAGATCCAGCTATACCTGTCCTAAGCATATATCCAAAATATATTCATGTACAAAACAAGGACATTCGCTCAACCATGTTAATAGCAGCCCTATTCATAATATCCAGAAGCTGAAAACAATGCAGATATCCATCAAAGGAGGAATGGATACAGAAATGGTGGTACATTTACACAATGGAATACAACACAGCTATTAAAAACAAGGAAATCATGAAATTTGCAAGGAAATTTGGAGAACTAGAAAAGATCATCCTAAGCAAAGTATCCCAGAAGCAGAATTTCTGCTTTTTGACCTTTCATTGTAGACTTTGAAGCAGTGGTAAAAGTTGGAGCTCTAAAACAATTTTGGGCCATTGTTGGTTGAAGAATGTGATATTGGTATAGTTATTTTCTATAAAGCTTTGCTTTCCCTTGTATAAAATGGAAACAATCAGATACTCACTTCATGAAATGTCTGCTAAAATAATGGACATAAAAGCATCACTGGTTATCAATAAGGTAAGTAGTTGGTAATTACTTTTACTACTAAGAACTTTATGAAAGTATTTTTTATATCTAAAAATGTTAAACTGTCTAGAAAAAACAAAAAAGAAGAAAACATAACTTTATGTAACCCAGTTTAATAAAAGAGATTTTTATTGTTTTCTGTTTATAAACATAAGTAAAAAATTATAGACTAGTCATGCTGTCACACACCTTTAGTCACAGCATTCAGGTGGCACAATCAGGAAGATCTCTGTGTTTAAAGCCAGCCTGCTTACAGAGTAAGTTTGAGGACAGCCAGGAAAAAATACAGAGATCCTCTCTCAATAAAATGTTGTAATTCTGAATTTTGAAAGTCCAGTCATTTCTTTTATCAGAACGTACTTGAAAGTAGAATTGCCTTAGGAAAATCCTTTGCTAGATTTTCTTGCTGGGTGTGGTGGAACATGTCTTTAATTCTATTATCTGGACACAGAGGGCAGAAGCAGATGGATCTCAGTGAATTTGAAGTCAGCAAGGTCTACACAGAATTTCAGGCCAGCCGGGGCTACATAGTGAGTTCCTGTCAAAAGAGAGAGAGAGAGAGAGAGAGAGAGAGAGAGACAGAGACAGAGACAGAGAGGAAGGGAGGGAGAGAAGGAAGGATGAAAAGGGGGAGGCAGGGATGGAGAGAGAAAAAGAGAAAGATTGATTGATTCTGTTGAGAATTTTGAAGGGTGAAAGGTTTTTCCCCAGTTAACAGGAAGTTAATGTCATGATTATCTAATGACTGAAACCAAATTCAAGTTGGCAGTAGAGCTGTGTAAATTGGCAATGACAACACAATTGTTGAGCCAATCAGTGAGGAGGCAAAATTTCAGTACATGTTCATTGCTTTTTCAAGCAATAATACGCTCAGTTTCATCAGAGTTTTCAGCCAAAGGCCAGGCTAATGGTTTCAGAAAAAGACCAGGGGAACATCAAATCAGAACTAAAGAGAAATGTGTAAGCACTGATAAGAGTATCTTAGAAATTATATAGTAGAACTCGCAAGATTCATGCCAGAAGCAAGGTACAATTTAAATACACTTCCCTGACAGAGTTTACAAATCTGGTAATAAGAGTCACAGCTGTTTCCTCTTTTGGTAGCTACCACGAGAAACTTGGGTAATGATGACAAATACTTGTCTTCTAACAGCAACAGACTAGGAAGTGAAAAGGATGTTTGAAAGGAAAGAAAAGCAAAAAGTTCTTAAGTCTAGTCAGTTCAAATGCTTTCCTCTGCTCTTCAAAATTACCTTCAAGATCACAATTCCAACCAATCTTGGATGCCAAAATATGCAGCTTAAACATCCCACTCATTTACCCCCTTTCCCTCTATTCTATGGTACCTATTTCTAATGATATCTTCCAAAAAGTTCACTGGTTATGGACCTTAATATTATCCGCAAGCAGGGGAAAAACATGTCCTTGTTTCCTAAGTCAGTATAAAGTGTAAAGTAAACACATCATTTTGAACAACTGTGCTTTCCATCTGGATTAAATCTAATTAGTGTTCTCAGCAGGTATATCTTTCCAATGAAACCATATGAAGAAATAAAGTCCAAATCTCACCTGATGTCTCATGCAATGATTCACATAAGGGGTTGCCATTCTACCAACTTTGAGGCAAAATGGACATAGCAAGTTCTCAGTGTTTTCATGGGATGATTTAAAGTGAATTTCCACATCAGAAAATATTGATGATCTAAACTGGCAAACCTAGAAATATAAAGTTAAATTCAACATAAAATTTTATAACTTGCATACAATTTACATCAAATTAGTAGTGATATGTTTAGAAAAACATCCTGCACTAGGAATATTTCAAACCACAGCCAGGTTTTATTTCTCCTTTCCTTTATGTTGACTTAAATTTTCAAGGGCTTGTTCTGTTTTTTTCTACTATATAAGACAGTATTTTCTTCTTCAGATTTTAAAGCCTATGCCAGAGACAGTTTATCTTCATATTCCTTTCTGTTTTCATTCTTTTTTTTTTAAGATTTAATTATTCCTCATGTATACAGCATTCTGCCTGCATGTGCCTACATACAAGAGGAGGGCACTAGATCTCATTACAGATGGTTGTGAGCCACCATGTGGTTGCTGGGAACTGAACTCAGGACCCCTGGAAGAGCAGCCAGTGCTCTTAACCTCTGAGCCATCTCTCCAGCCCCCTATCCCTTTCTTAATACTAGGACTTACTTCAAACTCAGTTAAAACACTAGTGAAAATATATTTAGTTAATAACAAAAATGAAAAAAAGAAAGAAGCCGGGCAATAGCCATGGAGAGTGGTGGTACACACCTTTAATCCCAGCACTCTGGAGGCAGATGCAGGGAGATCTTTGTGAGTTTGAGTTCTAGGACAGCTAGGGCTCTGTTACAGAGAGAAACCCTGTCTCAAAAGCAGCACACATACATGCATATATATGATTTACATAGACAAATAGATAATTAGGTATATTCAGTTAGGTTCTCTAGTATTTCCTATTTCTTTGAAACATCTACATTCTTCCCTCTATGATAAGCCCATGTTTGTCTTTCTCCAGTAGGACTATTACAGTATGGCCAGGAAGGCCAAATCCAGACCACTACCCCCACATACAATGCATGAGTTCAACCAAGGGGAAAGTCACTAAACACAAAGGCTTCTCAATTTTAGTATACTAATTTTATTTAAGTGCTTTGGTAAGCAAAATAAACAATACTATTTCATGGAATGCAGACGTTGAACAGACACCAAAGTGTACAATAAACAGGTGTATACCTGGCAAACATAGGGCATTTCACCAGGTTTATGAGTGTCCTTCATATGTTGTAAAAAGATATGCTCTGTTTCAAATGACAATTCACAGATTTTGCAAAGAGCTGAAAGGGAAAACATATCGAATCATTTTTCACACTTATGAAAACAGGATTCATTTCATAGAATCCTAACATCAAATACAGTAACAGGACAAAAGAAGGTAGTTCCAGCAATCTTATCACTATCAAAGCTAATACTGTTTGGGGGAACTGAGGGATGTAGCTTGCTTGTAGATTACTTAACTAACATTTCTCCATCCCTGGGTTAATCCCTAGTACTGCAAAACAACAAAACAAAACAAAGATCTAAGGATATTATTCAGCTTACTTAATTCTCACAACAACACTGTGGAAAGAGCTACAACTTTTATTCACATTTTCAGATAAGAAACCAGGAGCAAAGAAAGATTAATTAACTACCAAAGGTCCCACAGCTGCATTTAGAAATGATGCGGGAGCTGGGCATGGTGGCACACGCCTGTAGTCCCAACATTGTGGGAGGCAGAGGCAGGCAGATCTCTGTGAGCTTGAGGCCAGACTGGTTTACAGAGTGAGTTCCAGGACAGCCAACCCTACACAGAGAAACCATGCCTGGAAAAAACAAAACAACAAACAAAAGAAGCAATGCTGGGATTTCAACTTAAGCTACACGGTTCCCAGGCTGTGCTAACTACAAGTTAAGTTTTTAAATTAAGTATAAATTAAGGCCATTGATTTTAAAATTGAAAGCCCTCTATAGACTTTCTAACAGAATCATTAAGGTTCCCTCACAATCACATGTTAAATTCTGTAAAATTTAGGAGTGTGTGCTCTCTTGTGGCACTGGAGGTGAAAAGGGTGGGGATACTGCCAGTAGCAGTGCTCACATGTAGAACGGCTTTTCCAGGTCTCTTTTTTCTGTTTCTCAGGTTTCAAGTGGTGTTTCATGTGGTTCATGAATCTATAAATGATAGTAAAACAGGTGCAAAAATGCAAATTTATAACAACAAAACATTTACAAATACTTATCTGATCCTAAAAATTTAAAATATAGTTTCATGACTACAATTTAAAATATTATCTCCTAGGCTTTAATGCCCTCAAAAGGCCCTGCTAGTCTCAGTTTCCCATCTCTGCTTTGTGATGTCTCAACATGTAAGCTGTAAGCTACTGCTTCCTCCATGCCTGACTATCCACTAATGGTCATGGATGCTATTAACCTCTCTCAATAATAGTGAGGCCCAAATTAAATGCTTTCTTTTATTGGTTGCCTTGGTCATGGTATTTTGGCGTGACAATAGAAAATTCACAAAGAAAATACTTTAGCTTGGCATGGTATCTATCATGTGTCTGTAGAACTAACTACCAGGAGGCTAAGAATACAGGATTAATTTGAGCTCTGAGATTACAGCTTCTCTGGGAAACACAGCAGATTCTATCATCAAACAAAAGTTTTGTACTTAATCTCAACACTTGGGAGGTACCTTTACCCTGGCCATTTCCTGTGCTTCTTGGCTAGCAGAAAGTGAACAATTTTTCTACACTATGTCCATCCTCCATGATGCTTCTGCCTTGCTTCAAGCATCAGCTAATCACGGATTCAAAACTCTGAAGGAATGAGCCAAAAGAATTCTTCCTTCAATTGCTTTTTTCAGATATCTGTCAGTGTTACCCTTTGTAACACCATCTGTTTGCTCAGTTTTACTTCCTGTTACTTCAGCTTCACAAAAATGGTTTTTATAAGATGGAATTTTGAGCCAGGTGTAGTGATGCATGTCTCTGATCCTAGCACTGAGGGAGGCAGAGGCAGAAAGATCTCTTGTTAGTTCAAGGCCAGCCTCGTATATAGAGTGAGTTCCAGGACAGCCAAGGCTGCACAGAGAAACCCTGTGTAGAAAAAACAAAGAAAGAAACAAACAAAAACAACATACACAAAACAAAACAAATCCCACAAAAATGAAAAGAAATAAGTTCATGGTAGAGCTTATGATAAATGGGTGTGCCTGTTTTGAAGCCTTTACCAGACTGAATGTCAAAGTAAAATAACTCAATCAATCAAAATATTTTGCTGGATGTGGTGGCTCATAGCTTCAATATTAGAACTATGGAGGCTAAGGTATGAGGTAAGAAAAAAAGAAGAGCAAAAAAGCAATTTTAATATTAGCACTCCACCTGCTGAGCGCTGGGGTTACAGGCTATAAAATACTGTTCTTTATAAAAAAAAAAAACTATGAGCTACTGTTGGTAATAAATACATTGAACCATATCTACTTTGTTTTGGAGACAGGTATAAATCAAGTAAGTTGACTTATGTTATTACATATAGCTTAAAGGGAGTGTTGCATGATACTTCTGATATACCTGCATTTTACATTAACGTGTCTCTTTGTCAGGGTTTCTATTGTTGTGACAAAATACCTTGACCAAAATCAACCTAGCACTAGCCCAGGGTTGGCCCTACCAAGAATGGACTGCACTCTCCTTCATGAATCACCAAGAAAATGCCCAACAGGTTTGTCCCAGTACAAACTAACGGAGACATTTTCTTAATTGAGATACCCTCCTCTCTGATGATGTCAGCATGTGTCAAGTTAACATAAAACTAGCCAGTAAAACATGTCATATGTACTTAAGTGCAATTGTGGAGTAATGAGATGCTCAAAAACTTTTGGATTTTGGAGCATTTCAGATCAGAGGTTAACAGGTACTTGATTTACCACACCTGTATTCACCCATAGAACCAAGTGATGTTTTGGATACTTTTCAAAGCAAATTATAGACTCCTACGAAAACCAAAGGAGTGGTAGCATGAAATTGGTAAACAGACGTTCATGGTAAACGTTTTCTCAAACCATTGTTGAAGAGATAATATTTTTCCTATAAAATGTTGGGAAAATAGCACTGTTACACACATGAACTCACAGCAATTGTGACTGTATGCATAAGGCCTGCACAAGAGCAAGACAGTCAAACCCTCAGCATGTGTATGGAATGGGTTCATGAAGTTCCATTCTTAAATTGAGGAACTACTGACAAGAGTCAATTTTCTTCAGGAACGTGGTCCCTGAAAGACTGCTTGTGCTCTAATGAATGGCCCTACACCCATGCTCAACACCCTATATCATGCAGCAACTAGGCGGGTTCAAGGAAAAAAAAATATCAGTGCCTTGGGAGGGAAAAGATTATGTGTGTGTGGGGGGAAGATGTATAGGGGCCATACTGAGGGTGAAGGAACAGGGTGGATTTGATCAACATGTATTATAAGCATGTATGAAGTTCTCAAACAATAAAGAGAAGAAAAAAGGCTACTTCCAATACTTTGTTTTTTTAGCTTTCCTAAAGCTATACTGTATAGTGTAAGTATGAATTAAAAAAATCTAGTAGGGCATCATGACACACACCATTAATCTCAGAACTCAGTATTAAAGCAGAGGCAGGGAGCTCTGTATGATTTCAAGGTCAGCCTGGTCTATATAGTGAGTTCCAGGCCCATGATAGGTACATAGTGAGACCCTGTCTCAATTTTTTCTCTAAGCCAGAATGGCAGCACACTCCTTTAGTCCCATCACAGGCAGGTGGATCTCTGTGCATTATGAGTCAAGATCGGGCTATATAGTGAGTTCCAGGACAGACATGGCTACAAAATAGAATGACCCTGTCTCAAAAAAGTTTTTTTCCCTCTAGAAAAGTATTGGAAGTATTAACAATAAATATCAAAAAAGATATCACACACAAACAAACACACACATTCAGAAAACAATGTCACCTACCACAAATATCAGGCTATACAAGCAATGATAAAAATATCAGTCAGTTATTACTTGTGTTTTCTATGCTGATAAATATTCAACATGCCATACAATAAAAATATAAATTCTTAAATTTTAAGGCAAAAATGTATAAAATCTCTAGAATTTAACCAGGCATGGTGGCACATACCTTTAACTCCAGTACTCAAGAGGTAAAAACAGGCACATCTTTGAGTTTAAGGCCAACCTAGTCTACATTGTGAGTTTGGGTATATATTGAGACCCTGTCTCAAAAACAAACAAACAAAAAACAAAACAAAACAATCTTTAGAATTCCATTGGGAATTATATCTGTTATAACGTGTTCAATTGTACAAAATTCAAAGCAGACAAGTTGAACTTGTACAACTTGAACTTTTCTAAAGAAGATAATAAAAAATCATTTTTCTTTCTGAGGTAAATATGCTAAAATTCTAATTATGAATTATAAATGAGACTAGTATGGACGATGTTAGGCAGAATCAAGTCGTTCTTTTATGTACAGAAATATATATTTCAATACAATAAGATGAATACACAGATGTGATGTCTATACAGATATGATATCTAATCTTGATTGTCAACTTGACCACATCTGAGATCAATCAAAACCCAAGCAGCAGGGCACATCCATAAAGGGCTAACTCTTTTCTTTTCTTCCTATGTATGTATTTATTTATTTTTTGAGAAAGAGTTTCTGTGTAGCCCTGGCTGTCCTGGAACTCTCTCTCTGTACACCAGACTGGCGTTGAACTCACAGAGATCTGCCTGCCTCTGCCTCCTGGGTGCTGGGATTATTTTCTTGACTGTATCAATCAAGGTGAGAGGACTCACCTTCTGACAGCAGCTACAGAAAACGAGACAGAAGATTGTGCTTTTTGCCTGCTTGCCGTCACTGTCCATTGGCGATTCCAATCTATCCTATTCCTGAGCCATCCCTATGCTGATATTAGAACCTGTTTCTTCCAGGACTTCCCTGGGCCTCTGGCAGAAGAGTGAGGACTGCTGAGATATCCACTCTGGTGCACTGAACAACTACTGGATCCTTGGTCTTTCCATCAAAAGACAGCCATTGCTGAACTTCTTGGATGAGAGCCTGTAATCCACCCTAATAAATCTCCTTTTACTATACATATATTCATACGATCTGTTATGTTCCTTTAGAGAACCCTCAGTAATACAGATTAAAATGTGGTAGTTTGAACGAGAATGGCCCCATAGGCTCATAGGTTTGTATACTTGGTCTCCAGCTGGTGGAACTGTTGGGAAAAGATTAGCATTGTGGCCTGCTTGGAAGGGATTTGTCACTCAAGGCAGGATTTAAGATTTCAAAAGTTTCTGGTCATTCCCAGTGTATTAATCTCTCTGCCTCCTACTTGTGGATTAAGATGTGAGCGCTCAGCTATTCTGGCTACTATGTCTCTGCTTTACCATCATGGACTCTGATCCTTTGAAATAGTAACTTTCAATTAAATATCTTCTTTCATAAGTTATCTTGGTCCTTGTGTTTTATCATGACAACAGAAGAATAATTCAGAATACTGGAAAATATGTCATTTCCTCTAAGTAACAGTAAATACTCTTGCTTTTTCTTAAGCTATCAAAAAATTATGACTAGATAGATCCAGATTTCAAACTATGAAAATACAAGAGAAATATAAAAATATTCAGCATAACAAGTAACCTTTCTTAGTAATGTATTACAATAATTTACCCAGGAGAGTAAAAACAAAAACAAAATTAACAACAACAGAAAACCTACCAAGATTTCTAATAAAAGATCAAGATACAAATTACTATTTGTTAATTTTCAAACAAATAATAAATATTTACATACCTAATATTATTCTTAAAAACTTTCGAGCACCTGAAGCATTTAAAAGTTCTGTAAGTCTTCGGGTGTTCCGCAATAGCTCCTTCATTTCTTCCATAATAAAAGTCACTAACCAGCATGATCAATTTGCCTTCGTCTGAGCCAATGTTAGCTTTGTTTTCATCCTTTGAATCATCTGACTGAAGAGTTTCCAGAAAGTGATTTATCATGTTTGGGCAGCAAAGCTGAAAGGAGAAATAGTATGTTTTATTTTTACCTCTTATAAATTTTAATAAAGCATAGTTGGAACTAGACTTTGAGCATAGTTGATATGTCATTCCCCTAACACAAAGTACTAGAAAATTTGTGGCCCCCCAAAAGTCATCAGTTACATTCTCAAAATCTAAATGCATTCTATCTATAATAATACTTAAATAGTTCATGGGGAATATTTATCACAAATAAAATCAAAATCTCATTTAAACTGATTCTAAATAGAATAGTTTCCACACATAAGCCTTTTCATTGAATAAATTAATTTTTATTATATATAATTTTCAGTGGTAGGATTTTTCTAGGAGAACTGGTGCAGACTGGGGAGGTGGTTCAGTAGTTAAGAGCACTAACCACACTTCCACAGAACTCAGGGTTTAATTTCAAGCACCCACATCACCACAACTGTTTGTAACTGTAGTCCCAGGGGAGCCAATGATCTTCTAGCCTCCAGAAACACCAGACATTCAAGTGGTGCACAGACATACATGCAAACAAAGCAGCCAAACAAAGTTAAATAAATAAATCTTCAAAATAGTAACCAGAACAAAAATAAAATGGAAAGATATTTGATGATCACAGAATTCGTATAACTGTTGAATAAACTGTGTATTAAAAGGGGCACAGTGGAGATGATGGAGGGAGGGTGGGATTGGGAGGGAATGAGGGAGCAGGACACAGCTGGGATAGAGTTAATAAAATGTAAGTGATAAGAAAAAAATTAAATTTTTTAAAAAAATAAAGTGTTAGAAACCAAGTGTGAGAATTCTTATAATTATCACAATAACAATAAAAACCAACATTAAAAGATCAAGAAGAACAAGAAGGAGGAATCAGATATCCTGATAGTGAAGAGCAAACTTGCCCCAAGGAGCTAGACAGCCCTAATCAACAGGAAGTAGTCTAAAGATAACATTGTCTGCTCTCTTTTGTTTTTTTCTCTGATATCTATTATAAGCAAATTGAAAGGATAGAGAAGGGTGGAAGAAAGAGGAACCCAAAAAGTAGTAATGGATACAGTAGGAATGGATACAGAAATTGTGGTAAAGATACACAATGGAATATTACTCAGTGATTAAAAAAAATGAAATCATGAAATTTCCAGGTAAATGGTGGGAACTGGAAAATTTCATCCTGAGTGAGGTATCTCAAAAGCAGAAAGACACAGAGGGTATATACTCACTCATAAGTGGCTATTAGACATACAATATAGGATAAACATACAAAAATCTGTACACCTAACGAAGTTAATTAGGAAGGAGGACTCTGGCTAAGATGCTCAATCCCCATTCAGAAAGGCAAAGAGGATGGACATCTGAGGAGGGAGAAAACAGGGAGCAGGATAGGAGCCTACCATAGAGGGCCTCTGAAAGGCTCTACCCTGCAGGGTATCAAGGCACATGCTGAGACTCATAGCCAAACTTTGGGCAGAGTGCAGGGAATCTTATGAAAGAATTGGGAGACAGTAAGACCTGGAGAGGACAGGAGCTCCACAAGGCAACAGATTCAAGCAGTCTGGGCACAGTGGTCTTTTCTGAGACTGATACTCCAATCAAGGGCCACGCATGGAGATAACCTAGAACCCCTGTGCAGAGGTAGCCTATGGCAGTACAGTGTCCAAGTGGGTTGAATAGTAATGGAAACAGGGACTGTCTCTGACAGGAACTGATTGTTCTGCTCTTTGATCACCTCCCCCTGAGGGGGGAGCAGCCTTACAAGGTCACAGAGGAAGACAATGCAGCTACTCCAGATGAGACCTGATAGACTAGGATCAGAGGGAAGGGGAGGAGGACTTCCCTGATCAGTGGACTGGGGGAGGCGCAAAAGTAGGGAAGAGGGAATGAGGTGGCATTGGCAGGGGAGGGGGAGATGCAAAGTGAATAACTGTAACTAGTAAAAATAATTAAAAAAAGAAATGTTCAACTTCCTTAGCCATCAGGGAGATGCAAATCAAAACGACCCTGAAATTTCACCTTACACCCATCAGAATGGCTAAGATGATGATATGAGAGTGGATCCAATGTTCTCACATATTCAGAGAGGAGGATGGATTAACATCTGGTATCAGTCTTGCTCCCAGAATAAATATTTTATTTAAAACCTTGAGCACTCATTCTCACTCCTCTACTTTTCTCCAAGATGTAGGATTTAATAAAACTCTGTCTTTGGAACAGTGAGCATAATCTTTCCTTAAGATGCCTCTTTATATTCTCCCTATCCTTCTTTTCCACATATCACCTATTTCACTTATCTTACCATTTTGCCCTTTTCCTCACTGTCATTTACACAAGGCAGGCAAAGAGAAGGACGATCTTATAAAGATACAACAGAATACTATTATTACCAGGTAACATAGTTTAATTAGAATTTTCTCTAAATCCCATACCTTTTCAATCACTTTAAGTTTAACCAAATCATAAGTTCATTGAGTTAAAACTATCATTTCATAAGGAATGCTCCATTTGGAAATTGTGGAAAATGAAGACATAAAGCTAAGATTTCCATTGAGAAATATGAAATGAATATGATACCATGGAACAAATAAATTAGAAGGAAATTTTAAGTTAAATGGAAGATTAATCAATAAATAACTGTTTTATGAGAAGTATAAAGAATAACATGATTTACTCAATAAAATATTATAGTTTATTCATTTCCAATGAAAATTACACATACCAGTTAACTTATTGTAAATGAAAACCCACATACTACAGAGTATATATGATGAACTTAAGTTTTAAACTTTCATGATTGAAGAATTTAAAGACTGTATGAAAATTAATTTTTACATCAGAATATGAAAATACCAGTAAAAGCTTTATTATTTAAATAGGTTGACCAGTATTTACTCTGTTATTCTTAATTCTTCATGGATTTGGAAACATTTTAAAAAGTCAAAATGTGTAACTATTTTACCTTTATATGGCATTTCAAAAGATCCAAAAACCTGAACTTAACTTGGCAGTTTGGACAATGTCGTAGTGAAGGGTCTCCAGCTTCAGACTGAAGTGATGAGGTATTTATATCTAAAATAAATTAAGGACTGTTATGAGCAAAAATTGATCTTTTAAAACACTTAATGATCTTAAAAAGTCCATCACAATTCATAGGATTTGTTTCTAACTAATACATTTTTCTTATGTAAAATTTCACACTTACTTGACCCTACAGCCTGGGGAGAAGCCTCTGAAGGGGACTTAAGTAAAGATGATGAAGACAAAGGACTTGTTTCGGAAACACTTGCATCAGTCTTTGGCTTTTTTGGATTAACACTGTTTACTTCGGAAGTGGAAGGATGTTTTAATCCTAATGAAGTTTGATTGATACCTACAAAGATTTCAACACCAGGAAAGACATTTATAAATGCTTTAGCATAGACTATTACTTATGTAAAACTGCAATGAAAATGGCTTAGATTTACAATTTAATAAAAATGCCTTGCAGCTAACCTAAACGACAAAAATTTATATAACCAAAGAGCAGAAACTATACAAGGAAGTATTTTCATATTCACAAAATAAACTTTATGCAAGAAAATTACAAAGAAATTTTCAAATGTCCATTAAAGGAGGCAGGCTGAGGTTAAAAAAGCATAAACCCCACAAAACCCAAAGCAACAATAGTATAATCAAAAAGATAGAGAGAGAAAAGGGAAAGCAAGGTTAACTTTCTCTGAGCTAAGTTCTTACAAATGAATCTATGTTTTGGTGATTAAATACATTCAAACTTAAAAAAAACATTGATACCAAAAATATTCATTCTAACATTCAGGAGAATTCTTTACAGGTCGTTTTAAAATCTTGAGATATCTAAAGAAAATTGATTTTGGTCTTCTCCAACTAATAACCTGACAAATGGTTTAAATTATTTGGTTGTTTCTTATGTAGAAAGTGGAAACAAAATACTTCACTCATTCATATGAAAAAAAATCTAGAGTTTCCACAATGGCCTTCCAACTACTATCCCCAGGATTAATTAAACATAATGGGCATTTCAGACAGAGCCTTTCTTTTTATGTTTCATCTTACTTTTGTGGTTTGAATAAAGATTTCCTTGGAAGAAATAGTTGTGCTTGAAAGCTATCATCTTAGCATCCAAAAGATTATATAATTTCATGGCATCTGTTCGAGGAACAGGCACAGACACAGAGAAAGTGATTTTATAAAAATAATCCAATATAAACTCTACTTTGTGACAAAGACCCTAAAACCACACATAGTTTAATGCACTGAAGTGTAAATTCACAGTAGAAAAAAAGGTGTATGTGGAAAGTGGAGGCTAACCTGTCAAATTTATAGTGTTCATTCTTTGAGATGACACAATTTTTTCCCTATCATTAGAGGATATGGTTACTGAATGATTACTGCCAGCACTTGAAACTGAATTTGGTTTTGTTACTTTCATGCTTACTTCTTTTAGATGCCTGTGTCACTTGAATAATCAATAAATGTTGGGATATTGCACTAGGTGATATTACACAGCACACTAGATAATAAAAACATACTATTTTAATACATAGCCTTTTAAAGATTTATTTTTATTCCATTTATGTACGTGTATGTTTGTACATCTCTGTGAATGTATGTCACATGCATGCCCGCAAAGCCCAGAAGAAGGTGTCAGATCTCTTAGAGCTGGTGTTTGTGCACCTCTGTGACTATGCTACATGCATGTCTGCAGCCGTCAGATCTCCCAGAGCTAGAGCTCCTGGTGGCTGTGAGCTGCCTGATGTCACATGGGTACAGGGAACCAAGCTCGGTCCTCCAGAAGAGCAGCAAGTGATCTTAACTGCTGAACCATCTCGACAGCCTCCCAGTATATAATTTTTGAGGCACAGGGGCATCTAAATTAAAGAAAATTACTCTGAGATAAAGAGTTTCCAGTTCAGATCCTTCAAGTTATTCATTCATTTCTGCTTATTTATTTATTAAGCATTAGTGTTTTCCTCGCATGTTTGTCTGTGTGAGGGTGTCAGATCCCCTATTTCCGGGCTATGGAGATGGTTCAGTGGTGAAGAACACTGACTGCTTTTACAGGGGACGCGGGTTCAATCCCTAGCACCACATGGCGGCTCAAAACTGTAACAGTTCCAAGGGATCCAACAATCTCACACAGACATACATGCAGTCAAAAGACTAATGCACAAATTCAAATTCAAGCTCAAATCTAATTTTGTTGAAGAACCTTTCATGCTCATCTTAGACAGGATGTGCTTTTATGCAATTCAAACATATCACATACTTATTATTCTGAACATTATAGACCATTAAAAGTTTATAAAGCAGTTTTCAATTTTCTTTTTCTTTTTTTTGCCTCAATAAACTCCTAAGATGAGTAACATAATCTCCAAATGGCTCATATTGGGTCCAGAGAGTGGATGTATTAACAATGTGAGAAAAGGTAGGTAACTTGATAAAGCATACACAAATCTGTAGAACAGAATTCTTCTAGTTTCTCCTTCTTTCTTATTGGTGTTGGTTTTGACACAGGGTTTCAGTGTGTGTAGCCCTGGCAATCGTAGTCTCACTTTGTAGACCAGGCTGGCCTGGAGCTCACAGAAATCCTCCTGCATCTCTCTCCCTGAGTACTGGGATTAATGCCACAGGGCCCGGATACACCTGTTATCTTTTACAGTAAAATTAACAACAGTGTTTACTACCGAGGACAAATCTCTCTTCTCTACAGTTTAAAGACCTTCTTTTGAGACAGGGTCTTATGTAACTCAGCTACCTTGAATTCACTATGTAGCCAAGACTGGCCCTCAAACTCCTGGTCCACCTGCCTCCACTTCCCAAGGGTTGAAATTTCATACATGTGCCACCACACACAGTGGAAAAATTTTAAAATAGGGAGGAAGGGCTACATGTCTTTTTTTTTTTTTTACATTTTTTTCTTTATTACTTACACTTTATTCACTTCGTATCACCCCTGTGGTTCCCTCCCTCCTCCAGTCCCAATCCCTCCCTTCCTCCACCCTCTGCATGCATGCCCCTCCCCAAGTCCACTGATAGGGGAGGTCTTCTTTTCCTTCCTTCTGATTCTAGTCAATTAGGTCTCATCAGGAGTGGCTGCATTGTCTTCTTCTGTGGCCTGGTAAGGCTGCTTCCCCCTCAGGGGGAGGTAATTAAAGAGCAGGCCATTCAGTTCATGTCAGAGACAATCTCTGTTGCTATTACAATGGAACCCACTTGGATACTAAACTGCCATGGACTACATCTGTGCAGGGGTCTTAGGTTATCTCCATGCATAGTCCTTGGTTGGAGTATCAGTCTCAGGAAAGACCCCTCTGCTCATATTTTTTGGTTCTGTCACTCTCCTTCTGGAGTTCCTGTCCACGTCTTTAACTGCTACAAACTTGAGACTTGTTCTAGGAATGAGACCTTGTGTTTAGTAAAATTATACTGAAAATAACGATTTCATTTTCCTATCCATTTTAATTCTAAGTTATTTGCTAAATGGACAGAGGTTAACATCAAATGAAGAATGAAACAGTGAGAAAATATTTTGAGACTTAAATAACTATAAAACCTTTAAAAGGCTTAATACATGTAATATACTATTTACTAGTAAATAAAAATTCAAAAGAAAAATTATAAATCTTTCTAATGAAATATATCAAATTTCTAGTGAAATATATCAAATTTTAAGAAATATATTTAGTGAAATATATCAAATTTCTACTAAGACATATCAAATTAGTAAAAAACAATTTTCAAAACACATATATGGACGCTTGTGGGCACATGCATACAATGGTGTACCTGTGGAGATCAGAGTCAGTTT